TGGCCCGGAGCCATGGCGGTGGGTCCAGCCCCCTATTATTTTACCTTCTCCAACTCCCTCTCCACGCACCAAGTGCCTTCTTTGCATCCTACAGCTAAGAAACCAGGCAAGGGCGACAGCAGAGGGCTTCCCGCCACAGCTAAGCCCCGCTGCGCTTCCACAAGCGATGCTGGATGCTGTCCGGAAGCTTTTCACGGGGCCAAGCGCCGTTGTCAGAGGACATCTGCCTGCTTCTGCAAACGGCCGGGCTCGGGCCGCTCTCCGGAGGAAGCTGAAGGCCAGCAAGCTGGGCAGCAGTTTCCGCACGGCTGGCCTCTGGCGCGGGGCTATCTTTAGAAAGATTTCCCCTTTTCAGCCGCAAACACGCCGGCTGTTGTCTCCACGGGCTTTTGTTCGCTGAGCTGCCGACGTTTGTCTCTTCAAACCCTCAGCTGCCCGACAGCTCCCTTTTAATTTTGGCCCAATGACCCAACCTCCCCTACTGAGCAGGAGAGGGGAATTCGGAAGCGATTAACAAGCCTCTTGGAGAAAGTTCTTTGTCCACTTTGTGCTAATCCTCTTCAGTGATGACTTTTCTTTCGATGACAAACGGCTAGGCAAGTAATCCACCCCGTATCGAGCTTGCATTTATTTCAACAAATGCACCCGCTGATGTATTTGAACAGCACTGAGCCGGTCCGCAGGCAGCTGGGCACGGCAGCGCGGGGATCAAGCAATAAAAGCTGAGCAGGTACCCAAGCCAGTCTGCGCGCTTGCAGCAGGAGGGAAAAATCATTTTTGTCTTTTTTTCCTCCAAAGAAACGAATAATTTCCACAGGCAGAGAGAGCAGGGGTGCGCTTCTGCAAAGGAATGGGGGGATAAGCAAGGAATCACTTTAAACACAGCTGCTGGGAACGGCAAAGGGGAAAAAACCCCAGGCTTATTGTATTGAAAACCTTCTTGCGATGGATGCTGGGAAGAATTGTTTAAAGCTGCAGTTGTCTCTGGGGCTCTGGGGAGAGGGGCTAGAGGAGACGGGAGGCCCCACGAGCATCGCTCCTGCCTGGAACTCGCCTTCCCACCCAGCCAGCCCAGCACGCGGCCGCGCCGGCACCGCTCCCGCCAAAC